AAATTTAATTAATTTCTTTGACAAAAAATGTACCAAATTTATAATTTAATTTTCTATTACTCTATAATCCAATATATGTCATAATTTTATTTTTTTTGGTACAAAACAAATATCTTATGTGTAATAATAAAATAATTTTGTGTAAAACAATGAAAATAAAACGTAATAAAAATTATATAATTTAGTATTCAATTTAATTACACCTATAATTTTAATTTTTTGTTATAAAAAACTGTTATTTAAATATATTTACGTGGTATACGTAAGGATATATGACTATTATGATAATATATTTATATTTAAATGATTATTTTACTCCTTAATCAATTTATATATATGGATATATAGGATATATATAAGAGTATAAATGTCATTTGCATGTTAAACTCATTAACTCACATATGAACCCCCCCTCGGGGTCATGAGACTCGTGAACTTGAGTTTCATGACCGAGTCTAGCCAAGTTTTAAAATGTGGACCGGATGCATATTTGTCAAACATTGATTAAGAGATTTTATTTCTCACTCATATTTCAAAACACTTCCAAACTCACGTACCAATCAGACTCTAAAAGTGGTACCTATCACTGTTTTCAGATCACATGCCATGGGCTCCAGAATGGAAGATCAACATGCCATGCGTTCCCACCAACGTTATCCCGGGGAAAAATAAATTTTTCAATCATTCGCCCATAGGAACATTGTGACGTTACCTGTGTTTTATATAAGATTAATTCTATTTGTACTTAAATATTTTCTTTAATTTGTTGATTCAACGACGTAATTTCATTGAAACTATTGAATCAACACTAAATTTTAATATTTGATAGATGTACAAGAGTATTCAAATCAATTTCAAAAGTAATTATTACATTTTGTGGGAGCCACATGTATTATGAAAAATTTACCCAAAAGTCGTATAAGATGAGGAAAGATAATTACATTTTGTGGGATCCACAAGTATTATGAAAAACTTAAGACAGTAAAGTATGGCTATCAAAGTCCAAAGAGCCAGAATAGATATTTCAATCTCACCCAACTAATTTCTTTAAAACATTAATTATTCTTCGACAACTTTGATCTTCAAGCGATTGAAAACACAGCAGGCCGGGGCCCATGTGAAACTTGGCGTCAAGCAGATACACACAGCACTTGGTCAGAGTTAAACACGTTAAAAAAAAAAAAAAGAAATAACGAGAGAGCCTGTAACCTAACAATAATTTATTGACAGAAGAATATGTAAGTGATGGAGTCCTAAAAAAAAAAGTCCAAGTGTTACAATTACAATAATAATTCCTGATTTTTTAATCACTTGTCTGTATTGTAAAAGTATTATATTTTTGTTTAGTTTATTTATATTTGCCCCCCGCCCCCCTAATTTTTTGAAAACTAGTTCTAATTGTTTTCAATTTCTACCATTTTTTGAAAGCAATAATGTAATTGTCCTTTACCATTTTCTAGTAAGTTACTAATCTATAACTTAGCAAAACATGATTAAAATAAAATGTCATAATCTAAAAAAAATTCCGCTAATTTAAACAATTAATTTCTCAATAAAACAATGGATGATCTTACTTAGATTTTGTAGCAAAATAAATGATGATTTAATCACAAACACAATGATTATGCACATTGAAAAAAATTTAATAAAAAAATTAGCTTGGAATTAATCAATGGAAGATAATTTTCGAGAATAGTATTTCATATAGTAATTAAGCCTTATATATTAATTATATTTTACTAGACTTGAACTTAATTTTTTTTTTTTTTGGTAATAGGACATGAATGTATTTAGTCATATTCCCCCCTCCCAAAAAAAAATAAAAAATATTAGCTCCGGACTACATGATGATAATATAGATGATGATAATCTTGGCTTCGCCCCATAAAAAAAATAAATCTCGGCTCCCCTCCCCTTTCCCATCTCAAAAAAAAGAGTTGAAAATATAAAGGGAATTAGATATTAACAATAAATCTTTTTAAAAATATAAAGGGAATAATAAGAATCTTTAAAATTTGAGAGGCCATGCCCCTCTAGACCTTCACATAGTTTCGCCTTGGCGTGGATCGGACATCATAGAGGTGTCACAACATGTTGGGTTGAGTTATTTCATGTAGGGATGGTAGTGAATCGAAGCGGGGGCTGAGAGTGTAGTATTCATTCTCGTACCCATTTAAAAAAATTTTGTCCATTCCCGGTCCACCTCCAATAATGAATATAGTTTTCATTTTTATCTCTGTCCACAGGTAAATTTGTACTCCTCGTCCCCGCCCCGTTCCCTGCCTTCACCCTCGCCCCCAGTCTACCTTACACAACTCAAGCCCAAGCCAACATAATCCAAAATTCTAAATCAATATAACATTCTAAATACTCTAACACAATTATAGAAAATCATAATATAATTTAAAAACTTCTCATCTACAATATAATATATATTTTTTTAAAGACAGAAAATTTTATTGATTAAACCTCAAAAATTACAAGAATCAAAACAGAAATTGTTTTAAGACAAAAACAGTAATTGTGCTTACAAAATTAAAAACAGAAAAAATTGTTGCCATTAATTTGTTATAATAATTAAAAAACTGTTATAATATTTAAAAAATAATTTTTTTTTTTTGTGGCGGCATTGTTGCCATCGTAAATATATTTCATTTGACAACCAAATATGGTATTTGTGGCAGCACTTTTACCTCCGTGATAAAAGTAAAAATATCGAATTTTTTGTGACAACTTATTTACGACAAATTCTTGCTGTTGTAAATATTATTTGAGACAGACTACTACTGTCGTAAAAACCTTTTGAGATCACCCTTATTATGGCGAGGCAATGCCGCCATAAAAAGTATTTGTGACAAAAAATAAATTTTTTATGACAACACTTTGCCGCCGTAAGAACCATTTTTTCCTTGCAGTGGTTTGAATGTTAGCAATTCCTTAAAACTAGATTTCGAAAGATTTATCCTTCATGAATATTCTAGTATCGGTGTGGATGACTTACTTATGAAAGGACCGAGAAGGAAATTAGCTGAAATGTGTATAAGTTGACTCGAACAATTTTGACCATTAAACCCAAAAAAAAAAAAAGAAAGATACATAGGGCCTGCTTGTTACAATTTCTTAAATTTAGCCGTTAACATTATTTTTGTAAAAATTAGGAGATCTCATAGACAATGGCGGATCTACAGTGGGGCAGTGGGGGCACTACAAATTAAAAAACCTTTGGGATGTTTTTAAAATTTTCAAACTTTTAGAAATTGCCCCCCACTAAAATTTTTCAAAAGGTTTAGGACTATTTATGTATATAAATTATGAGTGGATCCCTCCTATTTTGTATTTTGGTGGACATACAGGTTTAGTGGGGCCCATGTGTCTGTCATTAGTGAATTTGATAACTCTATTCAACTATTGAATCCAACATATCGATCGAAACAAAGCTATCTTAGTCATATATAACTTTCCTCTTGAATCAAACATATGAAATCCACAATTTGATTAACTCTCCCACCAAAATTGGTTGGATGACTAGATTAAGGAATACATCAAAAAAAGGGATTGATTTGGATCAAACTCAATCACCAAAAAAGGTTTGGTTTTAATCAAACTCGAATATTTTTTGTCAACGATTTTCATTTTTCGTATTTGGATAAATTTTTCTAACTATTCGTAGTACACACAAGTCATAACGTTATATATGACCAATATGTCACAAAATTAACGCAGAATTAGGGGAGTATTTAGCTATAGTAAATTTAGGTGATAAATGAGTTTGTTAGATCACCCAAACAAATAATTGAGTAGATAATAAAAAAAAATGAAAATTTTTGAGATTTTATTAGAGCTTTTGTGAGATATAATACATAAATAATTTCTTTGATTTCATTAGTTTTTGCATTTTTTTTGCACTATAAATAGGGTTTTGTATTATTACTACATTTTTTTTTGCTAACAAATAAACATTAGAGCTTTGATAATTTGGATTTAAATTGAAATATGATGACTCGATCTGATTTTGCATTAATTTCTTTAAAATATTATGGACAATGATCAATCTCGTAGAAAAATGGATAATGAGCAGTACTTAAAAAAATTTAATTATGAGAGATGGGTATATTCAGATGGTTTTGATTTACTTTTTTTTTTCCTGCATTTTTATATTGCTTTTTTCGCCCAGTTATTTTTTGTGAAAAAAAAGCAATATTATTAATTGTGTCGTGTTATTTGTGTTATGTCATTATTATTCGTGTTGTGTTCCGTGTCAAGGTCCACGAGAAAAAAATATATTTGGTATGTTTTGAGTATTAAATATTAGTCTAAACTACTTATTATGTATATTTAATAATTGTATCAATTTTATAATCGTTCGTGTCGGGTTCGTATCAACGGGTCAAAATTGACATCCTTAATTATTATTATATTTTACGTTGCCCCCCACTGCTGAAAAGGAAGTCTGGCTCCGTCCCCTGCTCATAGATTAAGATTTTTTTTTTATTACCCTTGATAATTAATTCACTATTAACGAGTGAGTAATCTCACTTACATACAATAGGTCGCATGATAGAAGATCCACCAAAAAGAAAAATCAGGAGATAATACATTTAGAGTAATCTCCTTCCGGAAAAGAGAAATTGGATCGGCGGCTAATCATCTTGTTTTTGGTCATTTGCTCCTATCTTTATGAATCGAGTACTTGTAAATCATAGTTTTCGATTAATTGGCAACTACTTTATACACTTAATAAAATAAAAGAATTTTAATTAATTAAAAAAGAAAAATAATAGCAAAAAAAAAAAAAACAATGGTAGACTGTTACGTACCCTGTCTAGTTAGTGTGAAATCACATTATTTACAATAAATGAAATGAGTCTAATAAATCCAAGTTTTCTCCCATCTCCCTGCTCTATAAATACGTATCCATCAGCACTCCCTTTGTAAACCACTAGAACATTCATCACTCTCCCTCTCTCTCTCTCTCTCTCTCTCTCTCTCTCTCTCTGACCATGGCAATGTTGTGCACAGCTACACTCAGCAGTTCTGTTTTACCAAAGAGTCCATCACCGGCTCATTTGGGTTCCTTACAGAGACAAAGCCAATTCATTACTGGCCCTATTGGGGGAGTCCCATATCTGAAGAGTGCAAGGAAGGGTTCGTCTTCATCTCCTTCTTTTACCATCAGATGTTTGAAAGGTGTTGCTGCCCCTACAGCCGATATTCTTAGTCGCCTTTTCAATGGAGGAGTTACCCCAACCCCTATTCCAGACCCAACAGCCGTTACAAGACAAGACTTCCCTGCTGATTTCCTTTTTGGCGCCGCCTCTTCTGCTTTGCAGGTCTCCCTCTGCGTAATATATATATATATATACACACACACACACACACACACAGAGATATATATATATATATATATATATATATGAGTGTGTGTGTTCATATTGGTCATTGTTGTGGGTATATTGTTTTTTTTTTTTGTTCTGTTTTGGTCAGGGCTGTGGGTGCATTGAATTGTGATATTTATTTGGACTTTGGTGCAGACGGAATCATCGGCAACAGAAGGAGGGAGAGGACCCAGCACCTGGGATTCTATGCTAGAAGGAGCAGATGCAGTCAACTCGTACAACCAATACCCAGTATATGACGATATACCCAAAACTATAGTCTTACTTGATCAAGATCACGTCATACATAATTCTTTAAAACTAGAAGAAAATTTAAGATTAAGTTTACAATCCAATCCCTACTTTTTTTTTTTCCCGGATACCATGGACAATTAAAAAAATGAATTTAAAAAATTGATTTAATTTGTCAATACATAGTTATAATGAAATTAATTGACCATATTACCTTGACATATGGTCAATTAATTCCAATAAAAATACATACCGGACTGGTACGGGGGCAAGATAGTAGTTTAAGGTGAGAGAGATGCGTAGGTGGTTGGGGTTTGGGACAGAGATAGAGGTAAAAGAGAGAGTAACGGAGGTCGGTAGTTGCCTGCCGCCTGGTCAGTGATAGAGAGAGAAGAGAAGGCAGCCAGCGATGTAGTGCAAGAGGGAGAGAGAAGAAGAGTAGGCGTCTGTTGTCCCTGGTCAGCGAGAGAGAGTGAGAGTATAGTAGGCAGTGGCGTTGAATTAGATTTTGAGAAATACTATTTGGATTTAAAATGTGGATTTGATAATTACAATTATTAAGATATTGAGTCTCAATAAATGTTAGAATCATAGTAAAATTAATGGTCATAATTATTAAGTACATATTTTTAGTTTCTTTTTTAAGTATATGTTGCATTACTTTTAGATTTTAGGGTTATAATTAGCAGGTTTAGTAGGGTGTGGGCAAGTCTCCGTGCATCTCCGCATCAGTTCTCTCACGGGTTTATATAAATATTCTCGTATATGTCCATCATTTAATACATATGGTCCATCTCTAATCCAAACGAAACATGTTTAGATGAATTCCTTTTTTTTTTTTGTCCACTATTATCTCTAGCAGCAATAAACTTAAGAGAAATACAGATGATTTAGCAGCACCTGTCATAGCATTACTCGTAATGGATTGAGTAAACTTAAAATATAAATGCTTAGCCCTGCACCGAAAGAACAAAATTACTTAAAAGTATGGATCGAGTACTCTATAATTTTGTATGCATGGTGTAACAGGAGGATGTGCAACAGCTTGTGAAAATGGGAGCTGATGCTTACAGGTTATCCATCTCTTGGACTAGGATCCTCCCTGGTACGTTCATATATTTATTTAATAAAATTCCTTGGATTTCATATATTTAATTAATTTGTTGACTTAATTTTAGCGTAGTCATTTAATTAATAATGGATCACAACTTATACTGAAACTCACTATCAATTCCAATATCCAACGGCAGTCAAACCACATATTTGAACCACTATTGTTCCATTCTTCACTTTATACACCCCCACAGCGTAGCAATCACCCTTTTATCTTACAAATCTTCTATATTATTCATGAGTAATTTGTTGTTTATGGACAAGTTAGTCTGAACAAATGTTTAATTTCATATAGTTAATTACTTATGTTATAGCATAATATAAATAAGCTAATCACACATTATTACGTCAACAAATTAAATTAAATTTTAAGTTTCAAGAAGTATTACTTATTTTCATGTTATTCTTTACATGGCCCAATAATCCACACCACCACGACTAGTGTTCCAGCTAAAACGCCAAATATCTCCATTGATTGGTGTTCTTGATGTTGAAAAAATGCAGATGGAACAATAGCTGGCGGTATAAACCAACAGGGTATTGATTTCTACAACAAGTTCATTGATGAACTAGTCAATAATGGTAAGAAATTAATCATTTAATTTACTTTGAGCTCTTTTAATGTGTTGCTCGAACAGGACTATGAAGTTTGAGCTGTTTCAATGCATCTTTGATTCTCTCTCTTTCATGATAAACGAAAATTTTAATGCAGGTATAACCCCAATTGTGACACTTTTCCACTTCGACTTGCCCACGGCATTGCAGACTAAGTACAATGGGTTCTTGGACACCCAGATTCTGTAAGTGTCTGGTCCACATTTACACTAATTATTATTTGATAATGTCTTCTCTATGTAATTGTTTTTAAGCAAAATACAATTTTGCTGATAAATAAGAATAGTTTTAGTTACTATTTCGCAAAAATTGATATAGACCTAATATAGTCTATAAACAATACACTTGTATTAATGCTCCGTTTAATATGGTGGAAAAATAGAAACATGGAAAGTTTGAGAGATAAATAACAAATCATATTTGCTAAAAAAAGAAAATATGAAGGATGAAAAAGTAAATGAATTAACTTTCCTTTCAACTCACTAAAATCGAAAGAAAAATGGATTGAAAGTTAATTATTTGTGTTGAAATGTATCTTATTTGTCTATATATAATATATACATTAATTTCATATAAAAATACAATGATAAAATATGTATTTATATATATTAAAAAATTTAAAAATAAAAAAAAAAAAGTAAAATAAAATTTTTAAATTAAAAAAATATTTTTTTCATCTTAACTAGGAGTGAAAATTTTAGACTCAACACGATAACACGACTCGAACTTGTTTATAATTCAACACGAACTTGAAAATGACCTGACAGGTGAACAAGAAATATAAAAGACTCATAATTTTATGATTCAACATGAATCTGACACGACACGACTTGATTGTCACCCCTAATCTTAGCCTACACAAAAAAAAATTAGTCATTTTTATTTTCCATCTATCCAACCAAATACAAAGAAAGGAAAATGTATAATTTCTACTTTCTATCCTTGAAGTATATAAATTGTATCTCTCTTACTTTTTGATGGGCCAAGCCCAAAGGCCCAACTCATGTTATAAGCTCATTTCAAGTTTATAGTCAGACTCCAAGAGATCTAGCAAATCTAGTACAGTGTGGCCAACTTGGTCAAGTTCATCAGCTCAACCAATTCAAGCTCATTAGTGCGGTTAGCCCGGTCAAGCTCAGTAGCTCAAGGAGCTAAGGGAGCAAGCAAGGTCATCCAAAGCCCTATCTTCGCTGCCCTGAAGATGGTCAACACCCCATCTCATCCTTTGACCGAATCTCATGGAGAGCACCGCAACTGCTTAGTACGTTGGGAAGGGCTCGCCAGATCTATCAAACTAGCCAACTACTTACTAATATCTTGCCCAAATCTATTAGGAGGACGACTATAAATTGTAAGCCCCACCAACACTTGGGAGACAGATTATACTTTATCTGAGCACGACTCTCTCCTCTCCCTCAAAGCTTGAACTCTCTGCTTCTCATACCTTGAGTTAATAAAATACCCGACAATCAGAGCCATTGAAGAGTGGAGTAGGTTGAGCTGACTGAACCATTATAAATTGCCTGTGTCTCTCCATCTCGTGATATTATTTTCTTGCATTTATTATTCACACTTGACAGGTGGTGTGCAAAATTATTTTGTGCATCATTAGTTTGGCGTCGTCTGTCGAAAACGACAAAATTCTCACTCCTAAACATTCCATTTGCTGAACCAATGACGATCACTACTAGATCTATGAAATCCTCCACGAGAGGAGGAGGTTACTCCTCCACCTACCAACTCTGTCCCAAATGCTCTAGCTCCAAATCCACAACAAATGGTGGAGACCATGCGACAACTAGTAGCCTAAAACTAGCAGATACTGCAACTCATGCTCGCTGGACAAGGAGGAGCATAACTTGGAGGTACACAGCGTGGAGGACCTCAATGAGCTCCACGCCCTGGACCTCAAGGAGCTCCACGCCCTAGACATCTAGGAACTCCACAGCTTGCTACTCCCCATTTGGGTGCCCATGTAGGTCTAGGCGCCCCATACAGAGGAGCCCCTCATAAGGGACCTTCGCCTCGTCTTGCTTCCCATGATGAAGACCCTCATTTCTAAGAGGACAAGGGCGAAAACCAAAGTATGGAGCATGAAAGTTATTTTCATGAACATTCCAGAGGAGTCCCCAATCACTGGGACGAGAAAATTAAGGAAGTGCAAAATCAACTGGGTGACGTCTTCAACGCCATGAAGGCGTAAGGACCTGAGACAGTGGACTACCTCGTAAGACAGACAAACATGCCTTTCAAACCTGACGTGGCGAACTACCCCCTCCCTCAAAAGTTCAAAATGTCATCCGTGGAGACCTTTGACGGAACGAAGGACCCACTTGATCATCTCGAAACCTACAAGTCCTTAATACAACTGCACAACGTCCCCGACGAAATTATGTGCAGGGCATTCCCAACTACTTTGAAGGGATCAGCGCGACAATGGTTCGCCTCTAAATCGAGGAGCCCAATGACCAAGTCACCATGACCATTTTTTTGGGAGGCCTCCACTCATCCAGATTTTTTTTTTCAGTAATGAAGTGACCATCAAAAAGCATGCCAAAACTATTGGCAAAAACTTAAAATATATGAATGCTAAGGAAATCAACAGGTCCAGGCGAGGTAAATCATCTCGCGGACCTCCAAAAGCTTGACCTGCCTCTGCACTTTTCTCAAATAGGTAGCCTCGGTATCCAGCTTAGCAACTCTTTCACGGGTTGCTAAAAGCTTGGCCTGCCTTTGCACTGTTCTCAAACATGCAGCCTTCAATATCCAGCTTAGCGACTTTCTCGCGAGTCGCCAAAAACTTGGCCTCTGCGCTGTTCTCAAACAGGCACCCTATATCTCCAGCTGAGCGGCTCTTTCACGGGTCGCCAAAAGCTTGGCCTTTGCGCTGTTCTCAAATAGGCAGCCTATACCTCAAGCTTAAAGACCCTCTCATGGGTCGCCAAAAGCTAGGTCTCAAAAAGGTGTAGATCTCTCACGAACAGTTCTCCAACTCTGTCTTTATTCTCGCGCAAGCAGCCTTCCTCTCCGTACAGGTAATTATGTGAGATATTTTAATGTTTGGAATGGTGCCTGACGTTCTATGCTCGCCCAAACGAGGTAGCCCAACACTTGGAGAGGTGTCAGACCATCTTTGCTCACCCAAACGGGGCAGCCCAACGCTGTCTGGCCCTCTAAAGTTGCACAAAACAGTTCCAAAGGCGCCTGATCCTATGTGCACCCCAAACGAGGCAACCTAGTATTTGGAGAGGTGCCTAATCCTATGTGCTCGCCCAAACGAGGCAGCCCAGCACTTGGAGAGGTGCCTGACCACCTTTGCTCGCCCAAACGGGGCAGCCCAACGTTGCCTGGCCCTCCAAAGTTGCACAAAATAGCTCTATAAGGCGCCCAGATCAACACCTAAAGTGGCACCTCCAGCTCCTGATGCCTAGGCATCCCAGGTTGCACCTCCATCTTCTGATGCCCAGGCATCCCAGACTACACCTTCATCTCTTGATGCCCAGGCATCCCAGGCTACACCTCCAGCTGCTGATGCCCCAGGCAACCCTTGTCAGCGCCCAGGCTGCAACCCCAGATCGCCCAAGGCTCGCCCAAAACGTGCGCCTAGCTGCCTGCTCGAAATTTTGATTGTAAATTTTACTCTATAACTTCAAACAGGGGCTTATTATATATCAAATCGAAGCTCTCGACGAGCCTTACAAGACTCATATCCTATGACTGTAGGCTTTGAGCGATGGTATAAAAAGTCCAAAAAAGGTCCAGAAACAGATGTTTTGGCCTCCCAAAATTTTAAAAAAAAAAAATTTCTGCCCAGCTCGGCTAGGAGAGTGGCCAGCTCGCCCCGGACAGTGCCTAGCTCACCCCGAAGTTGCCTGCTCGCCCAAACTGCTCGCTTAGCTTTCTGCTCGAAGTTTTGATCGTAACTTCTGCTCCGTTACACCAAATGAGACTTATAATATATCAAATCGAAGCTCTCGGCGAGCCCTACAAGACATATAGCCTTTGGCTATGATTGATTCTATAAAAAAGTCCAAAAAAGACTTGGAAGCAAATGTTTTGGCCTCCTGAAGTTTTTTCAATTGTGTCGGTCTGCCGAAAATTCAAACTTAATCGAATGCCCTCCTTTCCAAGTTCCATTGGACACAGGGTATTGGGGGGCAAATGATGGGCCAAGCCCAAAGGCCCAATTCATGTTATAAGCCCAGTTCAAATTTATGGTCCGACTCTAAGAGATCCAGCAAATCCAGCCCAGTGTGGCCAACTCGGTCAAACTCATCAGCTTAATCCATTCAAACTCATTAGTGTGGTCAGCCCGATCAAGCTCAGCAGCTCAAGGAGCTAAGGGAGCAAGAAAGGTCATCCAAAGTCCTATCCTCGCTGCCCTGGAGATGGTCAACAACCCACCTTATCCTTTGACAGAATCTCATAGAGAGCACCGCAACTGCCTAGCACGTTGGGAAGAGCTCGCCAGATCCAACAAACTAGCCAACTACTTACTAATATTTTGTAGGCCCCACCAACACTTGGGGGACAGATCATACTTTACCTGAGCACAACTCTTTCCTCTCCCCCAAAGCTTGTACTCTCTACTCCCCACACCCTTGAGTTAATAAAATTTCCGGCAACCAGAGCCATTGAAGAGTAGACGTAGGTCAAGCTGATCGAACCACTATAAATTGCATGTGTCTTTCCATCTTGTAATATTATTTTCTTGCATTTATTATTCACATTTGACAGGTGGCGTGTAAAACCATTTGTGCATCATCACTTTCTATCCGTCCTACATTTCATCTTTTCTATCAAACGGAGCATTAGAGTTGAATTGTGAACTCATAGCAGATTAAAATTTTCTAATCCAACATTATATTATATTTGGGTGCCAAAAACACTTCTATATACGAATAAGATAGGCACACGAATATTACGATTTATCCGTACTCTTGATCCTATATTAAGACCACTTGGAGGGGTGGTATTATAATATAGTTCAATCATATTATAGGTGTAATATAAGATTAGAAGAAAAGTATTTTGACCTATATTAATACCAATGGGTAGTACTTTTGATCCGAAAAAAGATATTTAGACTTAATTTTGTGACCAATCAAATACAGTTGTTTGATTGAAAGTATGCTCTATCTAACCTTAAAACTTGATGGGTTAAGCCCAAATAGTCCAATTTATGTATTAAAGTCCAACCCCGGTTGAGGAGCCCAACCTCATCGTGAACCCACCAAGTCCAAGACAGACCAAGGCCGGCTAGACTTCTTGCTTAGCACGTCACCAAGAGGAGAGTACGGTTGGACTTCTTGCTTAGCACGTCACCAAGAGGAGAGCACGGGAAGTTTATCTACACCGCCTTAGGGAGCCCAAGGCCGGTTGGACTTCTTGCTTAGCACGTCACCAAGAGGAGAGCACGGTTGGACTTCTTGCTTAGCACGTCACCAAGAAGAGAGCACGAGAAGCTTATCAACGGTCCAATCTTTGACCACGTTTCCTTCAAGAGTTCCCCAAACTCTTCCTTCCGTTGAGGATAAGTCGTGATCTCCACCGAAGATAATCTCTAAGCTGCGATAAAGAAGTCTTTAGGATATGTTATGATCTCCACAAGAATGATCTCTTATCTATTATAAAATGGCTCTAATCTGGGAGAGGAAGGACACATGCTCCATCAGAGACACACAGAAGACGAACCGACTACCGGAGATTATTATTCTTTGATTCTCCATTCCCCCTCTCAAAGCTTGTATCTCCATTCTCCATACCTTTGAATCAATAAAATACCCGGCAACTGAAGCCATTGAAGAGTGGACGTAGGTCGAATTGACCGAACCACTATAAATTGTGTCTTCTTTAATTCTTTCGTTGATTTCATTGCATTTATTATCTATACTTGACAGGTGGTGTGCAAAACCATTTTTGTGCATCATCAAAACTCACAACTAATCCAATTTCTGCATTTAATTAGATCGTCAAATTAGATGCTTATAGCAGTGTTCTTTTCCCTCACTTTTAATTTTCTATTTTACCCGCTTATACATAATTTACTTGAATCACTTATGGAATCTTTCCTTTTACGTTATGGCAACCAAACCATATGTTTTTATAGTGGTATAGGTGTGATATAAGATTAGATGAAATGAGTAAGCAATGAAAAAGGCAAAAATAAAAAATCAACAAAAAAAAAATAAAAAGAGAAAGTGAAATAGCAAAAAATAATTACTTTCCAGGTGTTGCAGTAGTTCTTGATGATCAGATTCCATAAAATTTTCTTAATTTTTGAGTAATTTGTGATTTTTGAATTTAGAGATGACTTCAAAGCCTATGCCGATCTTTGTTTCAAAAATTTTGGAGATCGAGTAAAGTATTGGGTTACTGTCAATGAGCCACAAGTGTTTGCACAATATGGGTACAAAATAGGGATGAACCCACCAGATCCACTCCCAGTAACAAATCCATTCGTTGCCGCACATAACATCATACTAGCCCATGCCACAGCTGCTAAATTGTACAGAGATACTTACCAGGTGATTACGCTGCTCGCACACACACACACACACACACACACACATATATATGTTTTTTTAAATAGTATCGTTTGTCGATTGAGATTCTATTTTCCCACAGCCAACTCAAAAGGGAGAGATTGGTATTCCACTAGTGACCCAATGGTTTGAGGCATACGAATCTGGACGACCTGATGACAATGCAGCGAAGAGAGCGTTTGACTTCCTCACGGGATGGTTAGTAAAACTGTTTTTTTGCTTAATTAAGCAATGTAAATAGTGATACTAAAAAATGATTAAACTCAAATGATTAAATTTTTATTACATGTCTTTTCCATCCAAAACTAGGTTCTTGGAGCCCCTGATATATGGTGACTATCCATTCATAATGAAAGCTTTGGTGGGCGATAACCTTCCAACATTTACTGATGACCAGAAAGCTTTAGTTAAAGGATCATGTGATTTCATCGGTGTTAATTACTATACTTCTAGCTATGCAAAGGATCTTCCAATGTTAGGTCCAAATGACACAATTACTAGCCAAGCTGATTTTCAACGAGCTAACCTCACGTGTAAGTTTTATAGAAATATCATTTTTTATGCAATTTAGCCACAATTTATTTCTTATTAGAAATAAAAAAAAATTGGAACAAAAAATGTGTTGTTGACAAGCTAGAATTATCTGATCTCACCTTCCTATCTACCATGCTTGTCCCAGCTGCGAATAGCCAAGGGGTGCCCATTGGGCCACAGGTAAGATAATTTATTTGCAAGTCACTGTCAACTTTGATGTATATGACTGATTCTCGATATTTATAGCGAATCATAAAGTTGTGGTCTTGGTTAATTCAAATCTAGGCACCAGGGAGTCCTTCTATCTATGTTTACCCACAAGGGCTAAGGGATGCGCTGATATACATAGGCAATAATTATGGCAATCCGAAAATCATCGTTACTGAGAATGGTTAGTTTAATACAATTGTAGCTAAGTTGTTTAAACCCTAGACTATTGTAAATTTTCTACTAAGACAATGAGCTCACTTTTTCCAATAGGATATCCCGAGAAGCGAGACGACACCATTCCAGTGGAGACTGCCATACAGGATGATGCTCGAATTCAGCATATGATTGGTCATCTTTACGCAATTTCCGAAGCGATAAAGTAAGTGAAACTAATTCTTTTTTTTTCCCTCTATTCTTTACGATAATCAACTATGATTGTCTTAATTGAATGTTACTATGTGTTTCTTGGAATGCAGGGCAGGAACAAATGTCAAAGGTTACCTCATGTGGGCTTTGATGGATTGTATGGAAGTGGGATCAGGTTATAATGTTCGGTTTGGCCTTGCCTACGTAGACTACCTGAACAATTACAAGCGAACAGCAAAGAAATCCTCAGGTTGGCTCTATTCTTTCTTGAATGCACCGGCACCGGCACCCAAAACCAAAGCCACACTCACACCCGCACCCGCACCCAAGAGACTGAAATCTGTCTCTGTTTGATGCTAATGGACTTTGTTTGCCACTGGTCATTTACTTGTATCCCATATAAGGGAGAGCGGGGGAGTAAGTGGTGTTATCTTTTTCTTCACTGTTTCTTCCTAGAGGTATGTGTACTTTGTGTAGAATAAATGTAGTACTTGTTATTTCAAGTATCATGTCCTATATAATAGTTTTAAATAATCGATTGCAGTGGCATTCTAATGTCATCTAATTATATTTTGAGTAGAGTAAATCAGAATGGATTGTTAAGTCCAAATCAAATATTACTCCTAACAATGAATTATTGTGAAATTTACTAAATACAATCCATGAGCTTTGAAGTTGTATGGTGGTATAATGATCATCTCATTAATAACGTTCACTAATAATTATGTATAGTTAGTTATCTCTATGTCACTTTTATAATTTGAATGGAACAGTCTTATTTCACAAGAACTCGAGGTTTATTCATGTAATTTATTCTAAGTCATATATTCGTATCCTCAAGCTGACACATGTGAAACGGGCATTAAGTAGATAAACACAGAAGGATCAAATCCTGTCTACTACTTTGTTTCCATTAATTCATGGTTTTTTTTGAGTAATTAAGCACGAAAAATTAAGCCATCAATATTATGCAATCCAAGCAAAAACCATAAATTTTTTTTTGGTTGAGGGAAAATAAACCAAAAAAATGTGGACTGGAGGGCTGAAAATTCCTTCACATTCTCTTGAAATCAACATTTATTGGGAAGTAAGGTAGAGACACAAATTTGGTCCCATACAAGAAACCAATTATTTTTATAAAAATTCCAATTAATTGATTTAGATATACAGAATCAATTATTTAACTCATAGTGAATGTAAAGTATTCGATGTACTAGATTTTACAGAGCAAAAATTTTAATAAAACATAAGATCAATTAATAAAGAAAAATCATGCATTAAAAAAATATTGGATTAAAAATAAATATTATACTTAATTGAAAGAATCATTCCTAACTTTAATTGGGGATGTAGCAATTCATAAGTAAGGTTACAATAAAAACTAGAAGAAGAGGCTAAAAGATCGATGATCTACCCAATTAGGGTTAATACAAGTTTTAATGGTTACCGAGGAAAGCCTGAAAAAATTCTTGCGCGTTTGGATGCTTATAAGTTACTATTTGCCATTTGTCAACCGCGTTTGGACACGCGTTTCTTGTGTCTGAACACATCAATCTCTTTGGACGGTCCTAAACTGCATCTGGACACCTCTAACATTCTGTGAAGACTTGTTTCTTTCATACAAAAGCTTTGGATTCCATCTTTCTTGCATGGTTGCATCCAATGATCGTCACTCTGATGTATTTACCTATTAAACAAGCAAACGCTACAAAATAGATACAAAACCCGAAAACTCGTCATTCTAGCTCGTCTAATCCTAAAATATAATTTCAATTAACCAGACAATAATGACAAGAATTATGCATATTTCAAGACTAAACATTGACCACTATACAAATAAATATATATTTTGCTTTTTTTATTTGTAAAAAAATAATTAAAACTTGTAATTAAAGTGTCCACCCAAATCTCAATTTTTGGCTCCACCCTATCCAATTGAAGGTTATGAAAGAAGAAAAAGATGAGAACAAGTAGAATTATTGTGATGGGTGTGTTTTATCTATAAGCTTGGTATGCATTTTTTTACAAATATATATGGTTATTATTGTTTGATCTAATTTAGACACACATATCTGCCTAGTAGAGAAATTACTTAAAGCAACATAATTAATTAAAACAAATTCCCAAACTAGCACTCTTTCAAAAATAACTCCATTTTGAGAACAAAATCCATCCCTTTGTGCTTTATCAGATGAGGAACTGAAAAAACTATATTGAATCAAATAGTTACGCAAGAGATGGGAGCCTAAGTTCATTATGTATCAACTCATTGTTGTCCCCTGCAAAATTTAAATCATTTCAAGCCTCCAATGCACAACATTGCTACAATTTTGTATTGGTATAACATTAGAACTCATAACTAATCTAATTTCTGCATTCGATTACAATCATTTGATGTCAATGGACTTTGTTAGCCACTGTTCATGTACATATCTCCCATATAAGGGGGAGCGGGAGAGTAAGTGGTGTTATCTTTTTTTTCCCTGTTTATTCCAAGAGGTATCCGTACTTTGTCAAGAATAAATGTAGTACTTTTTATTTCAAGTATTACGTCTTATGTAACAATTTCAAATAATCGATTGCAATGGCATTCTAATGTCATCTAATTATATTTTGAGCAGAGTAAATCAAAATGGATAGTGGCATCCTAATGTCTGGACACACCAATCTCTCTAGACGTTCCTAAACCACATCCGGACACCTGTAACATTCTATGAAGACTTTGTTTCGTTCATCCAAAAGCTTTGGATTCCATCTTTGTTGCATGGTTGCATCCAATTATCATCACTTTGATGTATTTACCTATTAAACATGCAAATGCTTAAAAATAGACATAAAATCTGAAAACTCATCATTATAGCACGTCTAATCCTAAATATAATTTCAAGTAACCAGACAACAGTGACAAGAATTATGCATATTCACTATACACATAAATATATGGTTATGAGTGTTTGACCTCATTTAGACACACATAACAGCCAAGTAGAGCAATTAATTAAGCAACATTATTAATGGATAAATTAAAAGGAGTTTTTGGCCTAAATAAAACTTGTTGTAAAACAAATTCCCAAACTAGCACTCTTTCAAAAATAACTCCCTTCATTTTTTGGGAACAAAATCCATCCCTTTGTGCTTCATCGGATGAGGAACTGCAAAAACTATATTGAATCAAATAGTTACGCAAGAGATGGGTGCCTAAGTTCATTATGTATCAACCCATTGTTGTTCCCTGCAAAATTTAAATCATTTCAAGCCTCCAATGCACAGCATTGCTATTGATACCAGCCTTTAATTAATTATCAATTAAATATTATAATTATTTTATTTGATAAATGATGATTTATTTTGTCAATTCAAGCATACTTTTGCTTAGAAAATTTTTTAGCTCGGTGTTAGTTACGTCCACACTACTACTTTTTTGCAATGAATAGGAAAAAATGTTGCGAAAGACGGACATTCCACGACCAACATTACATTTTGTCACCACAAAATGCTTGTTGCGGAATATGGTTACAAGGCGCGTATTTTTTGATGATGAACTTAGTCGTTGCGAATCAAATAATATTTTTTTAAAGATTTATTTGAAGCTGACACTATTCAAAACTAATATTAGTTCGTAACTGAATAATAATAATTTTTTGGCGACAATAATTTTTTATTAATGATAAAATTATATTGTGAAGCCCGCTTTTTCCCTCCGTTTTTTCCTTATCTTTTTCTTATTCCCTCTTTTCTGGTTCTTGTCTTATTCCCCAAGCAGCTATGTTCTCTTTCCCAGTTCTGTAAAAGATAAGTATGTATTCTCTCTCTTTCTATCACAACCCAAAATTACTATAACCCTAACCTAAACCATAACCCTAGCCCTAACCCTAACCCTAAATCTAAACCTAACCCACCACACACACAAGTATATAATATACGTCTAGAAACTAGAACCCACTGTTGAGGAAATTGGCATGATTATATATAATTTTAATTAATAAATTAATATCAATATCACATAAACAAACATAAAATAACAATGAACTTAAAATGAAATAAAATAAATACTATAAATTAAAAGAGCTAGCCTGCGAATCTGAGAGGCGTATGATCACGGTCTTAAAGCAGTTGGGCCTGTTTACGTGAGGGTACTGACAGACACCAACAACTCTAAGATTCAACCTAGACGCTCGCAATAGCACATTTTCAATGATCATGCCCATTAGAAGGAAAGAGTGAACCTGACTCAAATCGTATGTTGCTCAAAACATAAAAATACTTGTAGTAATATAATTGTAGACAAAGTTTAACAAGAAATGGACTACAGGTTGAATGCCAGAACCATAGAGAATGCCCTCCAACAACATGCTTATATAAGCACTGTGATTTGCAACGGCCAACCCATTAAAAACATATTTTTAATACATGAAATCAATAGTCAAATAAATCAGAACGGCCTTGTAACCAAAAACTTTAATTGAAAGCTTTAAAACCTTCTTTATAATTCTAACAATCCCCCAAAAGTTTTTAAAACTTGAATATATATATATATATATAATATAGAAAATAAGGGCAACAATAATACTATGCAATGACTGTAAGTGTCTTTCAGACTTGAACCTCACTTAGTGTTAATAATCTCTCCCTGAAGGATAATAGTGACCAAAGACATGAACTTGACCCTTTGAACCAGAGTTCAACTATCACACACACAGTATCGATATTAGTCAGCATTCGCAGGTCAGTGCGTTTAATGGTCATGCACTTATTCTTGATTTTCATGAGAGTTTCTAGAGAATAGCCTAATTTTCACAGTCGCGGCCTCACAATTATTCTCACTTAGGTGAGCCATCTAATTATACATGTGCATAATACCCTACAGGAATGTACCTACCTCGGTCTCATTCAGCATAAAATCTTTCCTTACCGTCACCCTAGACCTCTGTCATAAGGATGAGCATGAAAATATCTTCTCTTAGGATGTTTTCTCAACAACAGTGCTAATGAGTCACGCAATATGAATTGTTTTTACCCATTGAACTTCCTTCATAGGGTCCCTAATTACAGAAGTTAGGTTACCTGCCAAGGTGACTCTCTTACGGGCATAAGCACGTCCCCCTTGACAGTTTTTGAGTCAACTTTTCTCAAAAGCAAGGTTTTTCTTGAAAGTTCATTGATCAAATTAATCAGTCTGTATATATTTGTGTCTCATAGCTTTTCTCGAAAGCTTTTTAATTCATTTGTCAGCACTGTTTAACTGAGATTTTATAAATATCAGAACAGTTACTCTTCACATGTTCGTATCTCATTGGGTGTGCACACCATCATATTTTCTCATTGATATTGATTTGAACCTGTCTTTCAAATAATACTAACAAACAACACATTAAAATACATTTGTCTTAAAAGCACTTAGGTATGAAACAATTTATATATATATCTCTTCAAATGAAAGATTACAACAACATTAAGAAAGTTCAATAGGTCCTTCATATATATATATATATTGTATAATCTTAAATTTTATCTCCACATTTCCAAGAATTCTCATGACAAATTGACCCAAGCTTCATAAAAGTAGCA